AATACATAGCTGGACCGAAGGCACAGGCAAAGGGAAGAGAGGCAAGAGTTGTATTGGGCCAGACACACTCGGAACAAGCTGGGTCCCAGAGATACTGCCAGCATCTCAGGGTTTTGGGAGAACCATCCCTGTGTGTTGTAAAAGACAGTCTAACTGCTAATACATAGCTGGACCGAAGGCACAGGCAAAGGGAAGAGAGGCAAGAGTTGTATTGGGCCAGACACACTCGGAACAAGCTGGGTCCCAGAGATACTGCCAGCATCTCAGGGTTTTGGGAGAACCATCCCTGTGTGTTGTAAAAGACAGTCTACTCTGCCACAATTCAGCATACGTGTGGGGCAGGGGTCTGTCCTTGGAGTGGGGCATATAAATTGTCCCTATGTGCCAGTGAAAATTCACCATATCCAAACAGTCTTGTATCATTGTGCAGAAGGAAAACAGGATTAAGAGTAAGGTTTGAGTCCAGTAGCAACTTAAAGACCAATGAGATTTCCAGCGTATGATCTTTTTGAGAGTCAAAGCTGCCTTCATCAGATACAAGTATGATACAAGGGTGATAGAGAGAAATTAATTTTATAGAGATGCATTAGGAAAGAGAAGGGTTAGAAAAATGAGCTCCAAACAACTTGGTATTAGAATCATATTCCTGGCGTTCACATCATATTTGTAAGTGACTGAGAATCTGGGCAGCAGGGATTATTCTCTTGATGGAAGACAAAAAGACACTGTTGCATTTTACTTTTGGAAGATACGGTTCTCAATTTCGTAGCGTAGATCTGAACTGTAAGAATGTACCAAATGTAAGAACGTACCAAGAGGTGGGAAGAAGGAGAGAGTTTTGTATAATATGTGAAGCTGATGTAGGCTGCTTGCCAATGTACAATCACTATAATAGCTTTTAATCTTTCTCAAGATGAAGACACTAAGCACTCTTGTGACAGCTTCTAGGGAATATTGGTAGCCACAGTTACGCTTTAAGGGCTTTCCAAAGAAGGTGTATGCTGCCTAGTAGTTACATAATCCACAGTGTTCCTGGAAAGCAGCTATTAATATTGATGACATTGACTGAGATGCTAATTTGTAAAATTTGCTTATGTTCCCTTCTGAAAACATAGTTCAGATCTGAGTGATAATTTCTTTAATACACATATTTTACTATTGGAAGCCACCCTGAGCCCATCAAAGGGCGGGCGGGCTATAAATGCAATAAATAAATAAATAAATAAATGTCAGTCCTTAGATGTCCGTTCCCTGCTGAAAATATGAAATGTTGCTTTGTCATTTGAATGTGATTTGTAGTAAAATCTTTGTTAACCAGACAGGTTGGTTGACCAGCATGCTGGCTGAACATCTTGTGTAGGTACCAGGTAAAAGCTTTGTTAACTGACATATTTGGTTAATTGGCAGCCACAGTTACCCATGGTGGTTAACAAAGCTTTTAGTGTACTTGTCATTAGATAAGTGGAAGCTAGAGTTGTGCTTGTCATAACTGCTGAAATTAATGCAGAGAGCTATCACTATAGACAAGGCCTTTCCAAGGCAAAGCTTATATCTACAAGCATATATTGGTCTTTATTAAAATAAATGGTTCAAAACGAGATTATAAGCTAATTGCAATTTGGTTTTATGTCTTTTTCTCCTCAGCCACTCCATATCCTGGTGGATTCAAATGTTTCACTTGTGAAAAAGCCATAGACAACTATGAATGCAACCAGTGGGCTCCAGATATCTATTGCCCCAAAGGTAAATGACTTGTTGCTAAGTCATTTTCAAGATGTGTGTTCCACTCTAGGGCTGACAGAACCCCACTGCAGAAATTCTTCTCGAGAGCTGTGCTTTTACCACTCCCTGCCCCAAGGAGTCCTCTGTGGGACAAGGCCTAATTGGCGATATGCGGGCCACAGGCCCAGTTAAGTGTTTTATCTCCCCATGCAAGGTATGTAATTTGTGTCAAGACCTCATCGGGGTTTAGCTTGGAACTTTCTTTTCTAGGGGTAAGTCCTGACCACTGAATTACTGCCGTTTCCTGTCTCCTTACAGACTTAATTATTCAGGTACTTGTTTCCTGTGGGCAGGGAGTTGGGCAGGATTTTCAGATATAATGTATGAACTCACAATTTCTCAATGGGGAAAAACCCTCCAGTCCTGTTTTCCCCCATCCTTTCTGCCTTCCGCTTTTTTCAAATTCAGCCACCTAAAAATGAAGATATAATTTGTAACAGTTTACCGGAATAATCAAAGGGAATTTTTTTTAATGTTGATGTTATCATTTATTTATTATATTCAATTTTTATACTGCCCATTCCCTGCAGCAGGACTCAGGGTGGTATACAACATATTAAAAAAAAACTTATCATACGAGTCAAAAACATAGAAAGTTATGATAAAATTCAAATGATAATTCAGTTTAGACAGATAGAGGACAAAATTTCCAAGAGTGCTACCACCTTACGGGCAGGGAGAGGGGGGAGGGGGAGTGCCAGCCAGAAGGTCACAGTCACTGTCCTCAGCTAAGTGCCTGGCGGAACATCTCTGCCTTACAGGCCCTGCAGAACTGCATCAGGTCCTGCAGGGCACGGATGTTACTCGGCAGAGAGTCCCACCAGGTTGGGGCCAGGGCACTAGAAGCCTTGGGTCCGATCAAGGACAGCCAGATATCTCTCAAGCCAGGGACCACAAGCAAGTTCTTATCAGCTCAGTGTAATGCTCTGGGGGGGTATACCGGGAGAGGCAGTACCGAAGATACATGGTTCCCAGATAGGACTGCCAAGTGAGGGTGGGTAAACCCCTGCTTCGGAGGCCCGATTTCTGCCACCGCGGAATCGGGCCCCGGGGGAACTCCGCCCCCCGAAGCGCAGCGTGGCTGCGTCACCAGAGGTGACGCAACCACGTCGATCACGTTGGAGCCGTGGCCCCGATCGTCGGAGGGAAAACTCTATGGTTTTCCCTCCGACGATCGTGGCCACACCCTCAACGTGATTTACGTCGCACGTCATTTCCGGTGACGTGCTGGCAGCGCACGCGTGCTTTGCACGCACGCATTCTTAGACGGCTCCCAGAGAACACCGAGGCCCCCCCGCTGGTAAGAACTTCTCACTTGGCAACCCTAGTCCCAGACCATTAAGGGCCTTAAAGGTAAGCACCAAAACCTTGAACATGATCCAGTGCTCAACCAGTAACTAGTGCAGCTCACACAGCACCAGTTGAATATGTGCTGTTCCCGGGGTCCCTATAAGAGCCCAAGCTGCTGCAGTCTGGACCAGCTGAAGTTTCCAGGTCAGTCTTGAGAGTAGGCCCACAAAGAGTGAGTTACAGTAGTCCAACCTGGAGGTGACTGTTGCGTGGATTACTTGGCACGATGTCAATAAATTAGTATGTGCAGAAGATTGAAGGAAGCCCTTTCCACACCCAAACTCCTACTTTTCTCCATTTCCTGTCCCTAGAGGACTCCATCGCAGCCCGTGGCAACCAGAGTGTGCTGGAGAAGGAAGTTGCCAGTAGTAAATGACTCTAATCTGCCTTTAACGTAGGAGCTTTTGGGAAGAAAGTTCAGAGAGGAGAAAAATTAGCAAATCACTTTAAAAGAATGCCTTTCATGCCTGTTCAATAATTCCATGCCTGTTTAATGACTTACATAGTTATACAATAATTATGGTAGGAGGTTTGTGATATAACCTTCCAGGCTTCAAATGAGAGATGTATAAGTGGGGGCCTATGAGACCCTGCCCTCCCCTGCCAGTCCTTTCCCTCCTTTTTCACCCACTCCTCTTTCTTTTGCTTTTCCTTCATGCCACCTCTGCCCTCTCCTAAGCTCACTTGGTGGTGGCGGCAGCTCTCACTCACTCTGCCCACTGCCTTGTGCTTTCCCTCTTGCTTCTCTGGTCACTGCCACATGTATGCACCCCATTTGCTTGCTCTCCTGCCTGCAGTGCTGCTGCTTCTGCCACCTTCCGCCTGGCTCCTCTGGCAGCAACTTTTCCACCCTCTTGATCACCTGTACTGCCTGGCAGCTCTGGCTGGTTTTGATTGTTTGTATAGATACTAAACAACCCTAAAAAGGGAGGTTGAGATCTTGTGCCGTATCATGGTGTCATCTCAGTTTCCCCCCCTCCCCAACAAAGTAAGCATTTTTAAAGTTTTAAAAATTTAAAAATCTATTTTTTTTCTTTTGAATTTTTGAGCAAAACTAGACTCTGATTCAGGTCTGTACAAGCTTTGTCCCAGTGTCAGTCCCCTCCCCCATCTACAACAGTGGTCTGGATTCAGCATGAGATGGATAACTTTTTTTATGTGAGTTGTTGTAAATATCTGTGTAGTGTATCATGGTGTCATCTCAGTTTCCCCCCCCCCAAGAAAGTAAGCATTTTTAAAGTTTTTAAAAAATTTAAATCTATTTTTTTCCTTTTGAATTTTTGAGCAAAACTAGATTCTGATCCAGGTCTGTACAAGCTTTGTCCCAGTGTCAGTCCCCTCCCCCATCTGCAACAGTGGTCTGGATTCAGCATGAGATGGATAACTTTTTTTATGTGAGTTGTTGTAAATATCTGTGTAGTGCGAAAAGAGAGGGGAGGATCTGCTTTAAAATCAGGACATCTGGTGGTTGGGTTTCTGTGCTCCAAACTGGCCAGATTGGTACTTCCCAGTTGGAGGGGACAGATGGCATGGCCGGCTTAGCTTGCCATAGCATAGTTCAGCTCGCTCCAGGCTGCGCTTCTCCCTCATGATGTTCCTTTAAGCATCCGCTCATGTGGCTTCTGCAGAGAACTGGGCCCGGCAGGTGGGATTCTGTACTGAGACTCCTGTGCTGCAGAGCTTGCGCAGAGTGCATTCGGGCCTAGGGAGGTAGCATGTTGTTTCCATAGACACATTTTATCATTGACAACTCAGGAACACTCAACGCTGTTGTGCGGATTACAGCCTGTGTGGGTTTTCCTTACCACCCCTTGGTCATTGTTTCCATAGACACATTTTATCATTGACCACTCAGGAACATTCAATGCTGTTGTGCGGATTACAGCCTGCGTGGGTTTTCCTTACCACCCGTTGATCATGATGTGAGTGGCAAAGAGGCTTTATTCACACATGTAGGATGCAACCTATACAGATGTCTATCAAGAGCAGAGGATGTTGGTGAGAGAAACTACCTCTGTAACACTGGGAGGGAGAACCTGCTGCCATGAATTGATGTGTCTGAAGTGAGCTCTGACTCACGAATGCTTATGCTGGAAATAATTTTGTTAGCCTTCAAGCTGCTGCATACATTAGTTTGCTCTGGCACCCTCCTTCCTGAGCTAAGGCAAAACTCAGTGAGCCGGAGGCTAAAAAACTGTGAGCTAGCTCACACTAACTCAGCTTAGAGGGAACAGTGGTCATGATGTGAGTGGCAAAGAGGCTTTATTCACACATGTAGGATGCAACCTGTACAGAAACTACCTCTGTAACACTGGGAGGGAGAACCTGCTGCCATGAATTGATGTGTCTGAAGTGAGCTCTGACTCACGAATGCTTATGCTGGAAATAATTTTGTTAGCCTTCAAGATGCCACTGGATTCCTTTTTAACTTCGCTACAGTCACACGAGCCATTCGTGCCGATATAGTTGCCTTAGTTTGCTGATATAAAGTGCCTGATCAGACAGCAACATCTGGCCTCCGTGCTCCAGTCATCGGCACCTGGGTCTAGCCTGTTCTGGAAGCAGAGTTTGCCAAAACCAGGGAAAGTCCGGTTTTTACATATGCCAGTGCTTGCAGTCTGCTTTTCCCGATGTCTGAACCCCCTGTCATGAATGGATGTTAGATGGGAAGTGTGAACGGTCACTTCCGTGTCAGTCGTGGTTTCCCCCCCCCGTAGGGATGTGCACATAAGCACATATGAGAACAAGTGACCCCCTATTTGCCAGCAAGGCCCATGCTCCTTGGTTGAGGTGCTGTTAAGGTGGATGCTTCAGCATGGGACCAGCGCACAGAGGAGCTGCTTCAGGGTGTGCTGTCTGGTCACCCTTTCCTGCGACGATTTAAACTGTTGCAAATAGAGGTGCCGTCAGATTGTGCCAAGCCTTCAGTGGGACCGCAGCCTTACACTGCTGCCCTTGTGGAATTAATATTGGAGAGAACCTGTGGCAGAGCCTAGAAAGTTTCTTGGCAGTCTGTAACATGCTTTGCCTCAGAATCTATTTCCAGCTCTAAACTTTGACAACTATAGGTCAACATACATTATACTGTGGATCAATATAAGATTTACATTAAGATTGTGGGCAGTTATATCATGATGTAATCGGTGGCCTCAAACCTCAATACAGTTGTATTGACTCTGATGAGATTATAGTGAAAAATTGCCCTCTGAAAGCATTTCAGTGTGAACACTTGAGGTGCACTCCAGTCTCTCAAATATTAAGAAGCTTGTAGCACCAGACAAACACAGACCAATGACAACTCCAAGACAGCTTTGTGCACACGTAATGTAGACATTCCCACCATTCCTATTCTGAATATGGGGGACCAGTTTGGAGGAAGGGGGCAATAGGGAGCCAACCTAGCATCAAGGGCAGGTAGCCTGTCTTGCTTCCTTCCAATTTGGGGGAAAGCCCCAGAGGGCAACCACATGCCCTGCTGCCAGGCGGCTTCCAGATGGGGCAGCCAAACAGAAATCAGTGTGGATGTTCTAATCATTCAGCACCTCCCAGTGGGGCAGAGCAAAGAGGTGATTGGTAGTGATGAAGAAAGCAGATGCTAAAATGCTGGGTTGAGCGAAAGAAATAAAAGGGGAATAGGTATACGCTGGAGACAGGTAGAGAGCAGAGGTAGAGACCCTTTCCTCTTTCCCCCACCAGTGGCCAGTGCTCCTCATTCATGGGTCTTTGCCTGGGAATAATAATATAGATTAGTTCTACTCTGGTGAGAAATAATAATTAGTGGTAGACTTCACTTTTGCTGAAAGAGAGTACAACATACCCCGGTGAACATTGGCATTGACTTGTGCAAATAATTCCCCGCTTCAAAGAGGCCATGAATTTGGACATTAAAAGGAGTGTGACTAATTAGGCTGCAAAACTTCCTGCATCTTGAACTCCTGCTTCCATTACTCCCCTTGATTCATTAGTGCAGTTTCTAGCTGTCTGCCTTTGATGATCGAGCTGAGATACATTTGCCATCACCAGGCTTATATTAAAGCTCTTTTTGTTTTGTCTACCTTGAAAGGCACTAGGAGTCTCTTATATTTGGCCACAGTGGGATCACTGTGTATTTACAAAATCTGGGATTTGAAGGCTGGAAAATCTAATCCATCACTTACCTTTTCAGCAGAGGCTCCAAAATGTGCTCAGATGCTGTGCTATTGCCTAACATTTTATTCACATAGCTCAGCTTATTTAGACACAGAGGTCATTTCGGGGGGAACGCGGGGGAACACAGTTCCCCCGGGTGAGGTGTAGGGGGCGGGGCACATGACAAAGCCCCGCCCCCTGCTTTCGGCTGCCCCGCTTCCAGCCCTCATTCAGCCAGGAGGAGGCAGGAGAAGAGGGAGGGTAAGTTGCTTCCTCCCCGCCTCTCCCTACCCCTGCCTGCCTGGGGCCAGGGATGGCCTTGGCGGGGCTTCCTCGCACTCCCGCTGGCCTTGCAGGTCCACCGCCGGGCCCCTGATGTCAGGGGGTGTGGCATATGCTAATGAGTTATGCTAATGAGTTCCCCTAGCTCTTTTTCTACAAAATGACCCCTGTTTAGACATAAAACTATCAAATTACCCAGGACACATTTAACCAGAGCTAACTTTGCTGTGTTACGTATACCCTGCTTTCCTCCCCATTGGGGATCCAAAGCAGCTTACAACATCATTCTCTCCTCCTATGTTTTATCCTCTCACATCAGCCATGTGAGGTAGGTTATGGTGAGAGTGTCTGGCCCAAGTTCTCCCAGTGAGCTTCTGTGACTGAGTGGGAATTCAAACCTAAGTGTCCCAAATCCTAGCCTGAAACTTTAACTGCTACATCATGCTAGCTTTCTGTGAGGCAATGGAAGCTTTTGAGAGACTGACTGGAGACAAAAGGTTCTTATAAACAATACTAGAAGTTGGAATCAGCCAAGTACATTAGTTGGTAACAGCCATTGTGGTATAGTGGTTAAGAGTGGTGGACTCCAACGATGGAAGACAAGATGGAATTTAAAATGGATAAAAGAATGATAGTTTAAGAGAAAAATGTTTTAAGATAAGAGAGGAAGGCTACAGTATATCATGGAATGTTTGAGAATGGAAGAAATATATGATGTTACCTTAAAAATGGGAAAATAAACTGTTAAAAAAAAAAGAGTGGTGGACTCCAATCTGGAGATCCGGGTTTGATTCCCCTCTCCTCTGCATGAAGCCTGTTGGGTGACCTTGGGCCAGTCACAATTCTCTCAGAACTCTCTCAGCCCCACCTACCTCACAAGGTGCCTGTCGTGGGGTGAGACTCCTTAGGGCAGAGGAAAGTGGGGTATAAAAACCAACTCGCCTTCCTCTTCTTCCTCCTCCTTTCCACAATGTAATTTACTCGGTCTGCTGCTGTAAAGTATGTTGATGACAGATAGCTTTTTAGAAATAAGAGGTCTTCTGGTGTGCATAGTGCAGTTACAGTACCCAAAGAACCAAAAGTTACCAGATGGTCACAGTAAGGTGCAGATCCCTGATTTTTAGGCCATCTCCCATGTTGGTTCCGTCAGATGAAGTATAACTGGATATTTAGTCCTCATGAATTGGATTTTCTTTCTCTTTAGACACACGATACTGTTATACAGAACACATGCTGGAAGCCAGTGGAAAAAGCATATCTGTTACAAAGCGCTGTGCACGTCTGGAGCATTGTTTGTCTACTGGATGCCTAATTTTCCCAGATGGACTGAAGGTGAGGATCCAAACTGTGTATTTGTTGCTGTGCAGACTGCTTAATATGATAGCCCCTTCTCACACAACACACGTTTAACTATTGCACAGAGTTATGATGCTGCCAGTTAGTCACAAGCAGTGTTCCCTGTAAGCTGAGTTATGTGTCCTGGGCACACTGATTTCCGGCCCCCAATCCAGCGCACTGATTTTCCTCTCGGGGGTAGTGGACAGCCACCCTCCCACTTAGGCCCTGGCTGTACTAACTATACAGGATAGCCACTCCCAGTTCTCCTTCCGGCAGAGTGGAATGACCTGGGAGCTTCCCCCCCCCTTCTCTCTCCATCTTGCTGGTAATTAAGGGAAGAGAGATTAATTTGAATAATTGCTGTAAGTAATTTTTTGCAAAAAAAAAATGTTGGCCTACTCACAATTTTAAAGCTAGCACCATGGGACAGCACACCTCAGAGGGAACACTGGCCACAAGGATTTATTTTTGTTACTTTTTAGTATTATAATCAATTCAAAATGTTGAGCATTAAATGAAGGGAGGAACATAAGGCAAAGAAGGTGTGACTGCAAGTAATGAATGCTCCATGGAGCATTAAATGAAGGGGGAAGCAGTGGAAGGCAGAGCAGAAGAGAGTACAGAATCATTTCCACCTATCTGAAGGCATCCCGTTTGAGTAGGCTTCTGGAAGCAGTAAAAGAGGCACCACATGGGTTATACCACTGAAAGAGGGGGACTTTGCTGTGATGAGTCCTTGGCTCTTTATAAGAGCTGGGAATGCCCAGGGAGCAGTGGCTGGTCTGTGGCTTCGCCCTTGCTATCAGTGGACAATGGATTGCCAATTATTTTTTTAAAAAATCATGGAAAGCCTAAAGCAGACAGTATTTTTAACTTCGATAGTGAATTTCTCCATTAAATTGCCCCTCCCCTATATACAAACTTCAGAAATTGCTGTAACAATTAGGTTAGGAACATAAAAATATGATGGGAAACGAGTATGAGCGGGAACCTCCCTGGTTGCTTGTCTTTCATCTTGTGCAGGTATCAATGTGGCCAGACCGTTTCATAGTGTGTACTTGTTGATTTAGGGGAGGATTTAAAAGTTGTTTGATGAAAAAAGCAGAGCACTCTTATAATAGTTATAAGCAAAGTTTTTATGTATTTGTAATATATTTGTGGGAACTGCGGTGGCTCAAATGGTTAAGACGGTGAACTGCAGACGGTGGAAGGTCAGTAGTTCAGCAGTTTGAGACCTGAGTTGCCGCATGACGTGCGCCTTGGTGTTTAGTCATGCCGGCCACATGACCACGGAAACGTCTTTGGACAGCGCTGGCTCTTCGGCTTTGAAATGGAGATGAGCACCGCAACCCTAGAGTCGAACTCGACTGGCTTTCGAGCAAGGGAGCCTTTAATATATTTGTAACTGATATGCTGAGTGTTAAATAAGGAGGTTAACCCTTTAGCTTATGATTTACCACAAAGAACCATAACTAACTATAGTTCAGATTGCATTTCAGAATTATTTATTTATTTATTTAAGTTATATCCCGCTCTATCCCACGAGTGGGCTCTGGGCAGCTTACAATATATGATTAATAAAAACAGTAAAAGCGATAAAACCAATAAACAACAGATGGCACGATATACAATAACAGAGAGGACCCATGTCTCATGTCAGGTGACTAAAAAGCTCCAGTGCCCAAGTAAACGTGTATGCAAATGCAGGTAGGTCAGTGGTGATGTTTTTCATTTAAAATGAAAAAGACTCTTTGAAAGGGGCAATTTAAATCAAGGAAACAGTGGAGCCGGGACAATTTACCCTTTCCATACTCGTGACATCTCCAAATTCTTTCAGAGGTGCTTTTAGAACCCAAAGATGAAATAATTGCCCAAGAAGTAAATTCAGAGTGTAACAAAGGCAAGTAGGTAAAGGGTTAAGCACCCCTCCCCTACCATGCAGGTTTTCTGCTTTGAGTTACCTCTTCCTGGAAATATACAGCTTATACAGTGACATTGCTGTTTGCTGAAGGGGTCTTCAGGCATGAGCACACTTCTCTAAAGATGTCCTGTTTTCTTTCAGATCTGCACTTCTTGCTGCGAAGGAAACATCTGCAACTTGCCATTGCCCAGAAATGCAAGTGATGCAATATTTGCCACGACAACCCCCATAAACCATACCCAAAGACATTGGGAAAATGCATCCGTGGTGATGTCATTTCTCCTGTTAGTCTTTGCCGCGTGGGTGTCCTAGGATTAAGTTGCTGGTTATGCATCAAGAATGAAAATATTTATGCATAAATATTTGACCTTAATTTAATATATGTTTCAAATCTTACTTTTTTAAACTTGCATTTCTAAATTTACTTCTTGACTTTGTTTTAGCCTTGAATGGTTCAAAAGCCATAACTTTCTGATTTGTCTGTTTTGAAAGTGGGGGAAGTTTGTTGTCTGTCAGTTCTTCGAAGGCAAAACTTGTTCTGGTCCTCAAATATATATTGAATATCAGAGAGACTACATGACGTGGTCTCTCTGATAGTCTATCCAAAGGAGGTATTTTAATATAGCTCTTTTTCTATAGGAGAAAATGAATAATATCTCTGCTAGATGGAGTCCATCACTGGTAGTTTTTGTAAGCATTTGTACTAAAATATAATTTTCCAAAAATTTGCTGTTTGATAAATAGAGGTGCTTTTAAAATGGATTTTAATGGATTGACAGATGACTTTGGCCCGTTAGTCAACCAAGGCTGATGTTCTGTGCATGCTTAGTCCTGCTGAGTTGAATGAAAGTTTCTGTCTGAGAAAACATGCTTAGGATTAAAAGTGTTTAAAAAATAATATTTGGAAATTGCGAAGCCATCTGAAAAATTTGTACTGTTTTTTGTGGGGGGAGGGAGGGGCAGGAGAGATGGGGAAATAGGCAGTACTTCCTTGCTTTAACGAGATAAAATGCATCATTTATAACTCAGTTTACACTTAGCATTTTACTATTTGATATATTTATGGAGTTTAATATATCAATGCTTTACTCTTGTATAAGCAAAATTGCAAATATACCCAGTAATTGAGGCAGAACAGCAAAGTGTTGCACCCTCTTACATCTTAGCACGAAAAAATAAAAGGTGAAAATAGGAAACATTTTGTACTGGCAGAACAGCAAAGTGTTGCACCCTCTTCTATCTTATCACATACCGGTACATCTTAGCACGAAAAAATAAACGGTGAAAATAGGAAACATTTTGTAGTAAATGAAAGAGAGTATATCAATTGGATATAAATGTGCGGCTTCCATATGGCAGTTTTGCTCTGCTTTTGTGTCTAACCTGGAACAAGTTTGTTGGGGGCGTATCCACAAGATGGTGTCTACTTTCTATGTTTTCCCCTCCTATGTTTTCCCCTGCTTTGCTGTGATCTTTCTTCAAACCAGCTTTGATACAATCTTTGCACACTGTGTGGATGAGAAAGTGTGCATTTTTGTAGGTTTCACCCATATCAGTGGCCTCTTCTTTTCACCGGGCCGTCGTGACCACTATTTCAAAAAACTCCGCACACGCACCCCTTCCAGGCTTTAAAAAAATTGGCTTATCACTATTGTAATTGACTTATCACTATTGCATTAAGCTACAGAGTTTTGTCTATTACCAATTTTAAACTATAGTGATGTGTCAATTACTGGTTTAAATAACCCCCAAAAGCTGTGGTGGTGGTGGGGAAATGGTGGCTGTGGGTTGCTGGTGCAAGGAGGGTACAGGGACAGACATGGTGTGGACAATACATTGCTGTTGTGCGTTTGCAGCAGGAA